CCGACTGACCATATGTAAAGAAGAGAGCGCAGGAAAATGTGTTGCCGAGTAACCATTCACCCATGGCGCCGAAAACCTGAACCATACCACCGTAGAAGATATAAGCGGGCCTGGCATGTGCGACATTCAGTAAATCAGCTCAGCGTGTTATGGTTCTAAATTTCTGACACGGCACTTACAGCACAGCACCTCCGTTCCCACCGGAGCCACGCCATCCCATAGTTTGCATAGCCGCTGTCGTTGCTGCAATCAAAAATCCAAGCAAGGAAATCGGCGTTGGGTTTCCAAAAGTCTGACGCAGTTTCCCTGCCGTGGGAAGCTTGGGAGTTAAGTAGAGCTTCTCGAACACATCGCGTGGAATCGGAAGCAAGACGCTTTCAGCCGTTTGAATGCGACGCAACATCTCCACGTTCGAATGCTCCGCCTTAACATTGATGTTGTCGTCTGACATGACAGCAAAGTTGTGAAAAGCACTAATGAGTATGAAGAGAAAAGTATCGGAAGTAATTTCAACCCAATCGGCGCACGTAGCTCCTAAAAATCGAGCAAAGCTGTAAGAAGAGTAGAAGAAATTCCGCTCTTACGCTGCTTTGAATCACCTCTTTTCGGACCCAGGACAAGACCCCAGGATGGTTTTATATCTAGTCCACGAGGAAGAGGGCAGTTTTCCTTTGAAATTACCAATAATTGCCGACCCGCACCCCCGAATCAGAATCAGCATCGGGTGGTTGCTAATAGATCCGGGATTTAAACCTCTATGGCGCAGTAATCCCATGAAAAACCATCTGGTAATTCCTGGCTAGGTATACCGTGCCTAGAAGAGATTCGAGAACATGACCAAACTCTAAAGGACAAAATAAAGTTGCGTGTGGGCCTCCCAGACTGCCGTAGTGCGGTTCGTCTCTATGTTTGTCTATAAACCGGGGCAACCCGGAGAAATGAAGCGGTACCCGGATCCATTAGCTTGTGGGGAGAAAGTGCGGGGGGTCGGACTTTAGGCGCCGTGGCTGAATCCAATATATTCCAACTCCGACGGAGTTGAATATAGTAGTCACGCCGACGTAGCATTGGCCATTGAACTTTCAATGGCACACACCAAGCCCCTGGCTGACGAAAATCACATCCCGTTAAGAGCCTACAGCTGAACCCCATCGCCTCTATTCCCGGACTCGACTCACACCTTGCTAATGATGAGCTATGGGTATGATATGATATAATTTCCGCTCTCGGGCTTATGGATTAATAGAGTTCCTCCACTGGTTTAGCCGGAGTATATTCTGCGGAGGTACAAATGAACTTTTTCATATTATAGATTGAAGATATGGCATATGAAACTACTGGATCAGGAGATCTTTATCATATTAGCAATGACGGAATGAAGCATCTTGTAGCCTGAAAAGATGGTCATAGTTGTAAGGAATCTTTAAATCGAACTTACTCGATTTCCCGTATGATTTACGGGCTTTGGATATTGGGACATGCATTCCTTGATATCACGGTGCGCTCAACAATATCTTTCCCCGCTCCTCAGATCCACTCTACTCCACATTCCAAAACTTCTTGAGGCAACTCCACTAGATCACAACCAAGGCTATTTCACTTCGTCTTTGGGATAAAACCAGACTTGAGGTACATTCGAAAGCCAATGCCTCTTATTGCGATTGCTCCATATTTCACGTCAGCAGAGCCAATTACCACCTCAAAGTCGGCTGAAACGCCATTTGCATAATCAAAAATTCTCTATCCAAGGCCTGCGACAATACCGTAATTAGAAAGATATTCCTTAGCCAAGTTTTCATATGATCAAGGATTTTCAAATAGGAGTATAGTACTCCACGTAACGCATGAAGAGTAACATGGTGACAAAGACAGGGCAAAAATCTATATACCCTACGGTACTGCAATTGCCCTCCGCAACTCCTCCGCATGGCTCTCCTCCCAAGGATACTGCTTCTCACAAGCCCGAATCAGCTTCTCATGACCTGCACTACGAGGCTTAATGTCAACATCGAATGGCTCCGGATGACTGATGAGACTGGCCTGGAACTCCGGTTGAATATCCACCTCCTTGCCGTCGCGAATAGGCTTGGCGATGTTGAAAACAGATAGAGTGCGAGCGATAGCAAGCCATAGATTTGAGTCTGCTAGATTCCGCCCAGGGCATATCCGACGTCCGAACCCGAAAGAGATGAGATGGGGATCACGTTCGGGTGTGTGGCCGTTGTCACCTAGGAAACGCTCGGGTTTGAAGGTCATTGGGTCGTGGTATTCGTTGGGGTCGTGGGTGAATGCCCTACAGGGGAGTTTGGTAAGTAAAAGAAAGTAAGAAGGAATACGGGGCCTAACACACCATATATTCGACAATATAGCTGCTCCCTTCGGGATACGATATCCCTCAAGCATATCATCTTCGATTGCCATGTGGGCGACGCCCATAGGGACAACGGGATGCCAACGGAGGGCCTCCTTAAGGAGGGCGTCGATGTATGGAAGGTTCTCGCGGTCTTCGAACCCGGGTAGACGTGTTGCTCCGACGACCCGTTCAATTTCTTCTTGTGCTTTCCGTTGTACATGCGGATATAAGGCCATTGTCAGGAAGAAGCACATCATCGTGGACACCGTCTATAATGCTTATTAGGATCCCAAGGTAGTCGAAATAGTAGGTGGCCATTCGTTACTTACTGTATCTGCACCGCCACCGTAAAGAGTAGCAGTTGCCCACTTCACGAGATGCTCCTCTTCCGAGCCCGGCTGGATATTCTCTGATTCAAGATAGTACGAAATGATGGAAGGCACATTGCTCCCTTGGGCCATTTGCTGCTTCGTAAACGCATACGGAACGTTACCTAGATTCCTGGCAGCCGTTTGGAAACCTTCTGCTGCCCGCGTGCAGCCTCCACCTGGTGCCCAGGAAGGGAGGTGTCTCACTAGAATAAGACCTTTGAGCAGACTTGTTCCATAACAAGATGAAAACAAGACTCACAAATAGGAATAGAATCCACAAGCCAAGCCCCAGGAACCATCGCCAACGAAAACTTCCCGACCGCGTCGTCTGCAAGATCCACCAGAGGGTCGCGCCCGTGGGGTTCAACAGTATATCCGTAAGTGATCTTCAGTATAACCGCACCGGTCTCCCTGATGAGAAGTTACTCTAACATCCATATGTCTTGAAAAGGAAAGACACATACTTCTTAATGTGTTCAAGCCAATTCCGGGGATCCCGAAGCATCCGTAAGAGATATCGACAAACCTCCGCATCCTGAATATGGCTGAACCGGCCGACAGCTTTATTGGAGCCGATCTGCTGGTGCGCAACTTTGCGTGTGGTGCGGAGCCGGTCAGAGTACTCGAGGACGGTCATGATATCCCCATAGCCGGCCCTTTTTCATCAGCTTCGTAACTTGTATGTGCTGAAAAGATGATGCTTACATATGGGCAAAGGTGCATGACGGCCGAGATGAGTGTATGGCGGAACGCTTCTCCAAGAGCTCATACGCGAGACGCGCTTCGTTTAGAATGATGATTGTTTGGCCAAATGCGGTGACGGAGCTAATTGGGCCTTTCCGGAGTTCTTTCTTAGTCTATCGGTAGTTGCAATATGCCGATGCTGGGAGTATGTACCATAGAGGTCTTTGTGTTTCAACCAGTGTAACCAGTCCCGAGTGCCTTGTGGTGGAAGATCCCAGAGATTCCCAATAATCGGTTTTGGCCGGGGACCAGGGGGGAGTGGCGCAAACGACTTGGTTCTAGCTAAAAACGATCTTAGAAAATATAGGAATATGACGCCGATGGCGAGCCCAAGAACCATGAAAGACATGTCCTATTTAGCATCTATACAGAAATTTTGAAAGCAAATGGTCAAAGAAAAAGCATGGGAGCGTTTGAGCGAATATAACCTCAATCGAGTTCCTTATAAAAAGGATAAGAAGAGGGGTAACGCACCCTGGCGTTATCTCTACTCAGCTGGGCTTCTGCACTGCAGCAATATCTACGACCTTTAAGGCGCTAGGTGCATCTGATATGTAGAGAAGCCAGGGTTGAATTACTATATTGCGAATGCCACTGGTCCGAATTAGGACTTGTGCAGGATAACAGACCCATTATGGGACAGGGATAGACAACCTCACATCCCTGGCAAAAGTACCGGTTCGCTTACATAGCTTGTGGGTTTCAAAAGCAATATATTATAGCCGAGGATATTGCACCTGTTACAATAAGCGCTTTGGTCTCGGGGTGTCCTTGTGATGGATTTGGTTTCTTGCAATTCCTGTTTTTGCTTGTTAGTCTGTGTATGCAGCTTTGTCTGTCATTTGGATTTCTGTTGTGCCGATTGGTTTGGAGATATTGTTACCATTCGGCTATAGTAGCAGAATAGTATATGAGTTAAAATAACTTAGGCATTCATTGTAAGACAAAGGGTGAGAAACTAGTAGTTGAGGTAGTTGGAACTCGATTTGCAACATATTAGGGCAACCGACTTGATGCTGTATGTTGGTATGGATGTGCTACATCAACCTCAACAACTTCTAACTTAATCTGAGAAAAAGTTGGCAAGACCAAGCATTGCAGTAAGCTATATGCGCAGCATAAGACGCGTAGGCAACTATTTTAATAAAATACTAATATCGGGGAGATCAAAGTGAAGGCGTCTCACAATCATAACGCTTCCCACATTCGTTATGCCATCTTAACACTACAATCCTAGTGTTTATTAGCAGCCTGTCTAATTAAGAACTACGACGTCTCCATTCATGTTCGATATCTCTCCAAACGCTATCGTAAACTCCCCAAACCTCGCCATACATCTCCGTCCTCATATTTCCTATTTGTCCTTTTATGTGGTTCACCTCGGGATCCAAAGCAAACTGGCGCTGTTTATGTTAGTGCTCGGTAGATGATAATAGAAGGGATATCTAACACCTTCTTGTCTTGGAATTTTTGTTGCTCTAAGATAAGCTATGTACGATTATGAGACATGAAAGAAAAAAAAAAATGTGGTGTGAGCCCCACCCGATTTGAACGGATAACCTTTCGATCTGGAGTCGCTGTGAATTTGTTAGAAGAATTCAAGACTTGGCTTGGATTAAAGTGGGAACTTACAACGCGCTACCGTTGCGCCAGAGGCCCTTGGGATGACTAATATAAGCAATACAGTGTTAAATATTGTCTACTACAAACAGAGTGAGGGTTGATTCCGAATGCCGATAGATGAACTCCGAACGCCGAGAATAGCCCTAAACATCTCCCATGTCAGCCCCCTCACTCCCCAATCTTGCTTTCCTCTTCATTCAATTGTTATGTTTGACGTAGCTACAAATAAAAAACATAGGAGATAAGAGATGAACTCACGCCGTCGCAATGGAAAACCCGCTTCCTGCGAACCCTGCCGCAAGGACAAAGTCCGGTGTGATCATCGTCTCCCCGTCTGTTCTCGTTGTCAGAAGAAACGCCGGACTGCCAGCTGCTTCTATCATCCGGCACCGTTGACGCATAGATCAAAAAGCACAAAAGTAAAAGGCAGCTCATCTGGGACGGGGAGCACACATTCTCCCCCTGCTTCAACTCCGCAGCAAGATGACTCCGATGCTAGGCTGTTGCGTGCCAGACCAGCATCCACGCCGATTTCCACGTTGTCGAACACCGAAGGGCTGGGATCACAATTAGACGATGGGTTCAACATGTTGGTCACTGCTCGCTCATTGCCTACCGGCTACTTGGGTCCGACCAGCTTTGTCGCGGCATTGGAAGATGATCACGAGCTTGTTTCTAGTCCCAGCGAGCGACAGTCACACCACGACGCAGGAACCGCATTGCCATCAGGCTTGCCGTTGTATTGGGTACAGCGTACAGCAGAGATATTACGATGCTTGGAAGATTTCTCAACAATCACACAGCTAGTTTGCGAATACTACAGACTAAGCAAGGCGGCCGTCATACCGTCTCTGATTCTTAATGCACTACCCGCAATACAGACTATGATTGACGAAGCTCAGCTGCATAAAGGCCCAGTAGAACAGGTTGCGCGGGTTCTTCAAAACACAAAACAACTGTTCCATGTACCATCTACTATGACAGGAAGACATTTCCATGAGCTTTTTACCGGGCCTAATTTACGTCTGGAAATATTGGGACTCTTCTATGCGATAGCTGGCCGACTGAGTGTTTTCGGCCTGGCTCATGATAAATTCCCCAGGCAGAATGGAATGGCAGCTCGTGAGCGGTTTTCTCGAAAGATGTTGGCGGCTAGTGATGCGGTACTCCAGATTTGCAAGCTCATCGCCCCAGTCAATGACCTAACGATATGGATGCTGTATGAAATTCTATTATTGTCAAAGGTGGCCCATGGCGACGCTAGTAAGTGAACACCTCATAACACCGAAAGTAGCTAGAGACTTGGAGAATAGTTGTTTACCATGCAACAGGCTCCGCAAAGTGGCGCAGGCTCGGTGACCTGTCAACCCATATATTCGAGTTGGGGCTGCATAGAGACTCCCAACAGTCAAGCTCTGTCCCGATATTTTTAGTCGAGTCTCGCCGCAGACTCTTTGCAGCGACATATCAACTCGACAAGAGCATTGCGACGTTTCTGGGCAGGCCGCCGAGGATCTCACTAAGGCATTCAGACTGCCGACTGCCTCTTGATCTCGATGATAGGTCATTAGAAACTGATCAGTCGGAGATTGAACTCGCATTGCAGGAGTTGGACGGCGATGGATGGAATACTCAAGGCAGTCTTCACCGATCTACCTTTTCTCGGCAACGGTTTCTGGTCGCTACATTTCGCGAGGAGATCCTAGAAGTCTCTTTAGAGTCCCAAAACCAGAGGACAGCCGAGAAGCTGAGGTGAGTCACTGAATATTCGAAGTGTTTTCTTCTATTAGTTGCTCATAGACTTTAATTGTGTGGTGAACAGGGATATATCTATGCGCTGTCATCAAACATGGGATTCAATGCCGAAGCAATTACACTACAGCCCAGATTCTCGGGATGAGAACATGTCAAACACGGTCTGTATGATGCTTATTGTATCATATCTAGCTTACCTGTACAACGACTTTCTCATCCAAAGGCTCCTAGTTCAGCAGGACCCCGAGGCCTATTCAGCTTTACTCGACGTGAGCTCAATCATTTTGTCGACCGTTCTAGATTTCTGCGCCATGAGAGAAGATATGGTTGACCTTCGACCAGATTTCATGTGGACAGTTCGTACTTCCTTCCAGATACCCTGTAAGCTATGCTAACTCAAGTAAACCGAAAGAATCTCCTGTACGGCTTCCCCAGTGCGGCTGTTCTAATCAAGGCACTTCAGAAACAAGCGCGCACCGGTAGACCAATTCCCTACCAGGGCTCACGATCTGTCTTGATTCGCCATTTGAGCGTGTTTATCTCGCATCTAGAGTCGATGTCTCGACCGGGTGTTGTGAACCAGGAGCTGTTTCACCGCGCGAGTAAGATATTTTCGAGCATCATCGATGAAGTTCTAGAGCCGCGTGTCGCGGTGACTCTCCCCGGGCCTGATCTAGATATATTGGCGGACTCGGAAACGTGTATGATCGGAAGCGATGATTTGGATTTCTTGGATATGTTGGAGTTTGGAGGATCGATTGATCAGTATATGATATTTTGAAGGTGTGTAATGCCCCTGGTTTACTGGCTGCGATTGTAGGATGAGGATGGATATTATATCAGATTGTTGCTTATAGTCTGATCTTTATATGTTTCAAGTGATCTGGACAGCGGACTAATTCTGAGTTAACTCAATTAGAATATTATCCCGGAACCCGAATTATAAGACTGCTCAAATTTGGATACACTGAGCCCTCATAGTCTATCTTCTTGGGAAGCCCTATATTCAGCCCGAGAGAATTATCATTATACATTAGTTTCGTACATACATATTGTACCATGGTCATGATTGAACCGAAGAAAGTAAACGCAAGTCCGTATTCTCATTATATGCATCGCTGTGTCACCGAGAAGGAAGTAATTGCAGGTTATCGATGTGATCAAGCGTTAGCCAAAGCTTCCGTATATCTTGAATGAACTGCAAGAATCATATCATACCCTAGAAAAGCAATCACGGAAAAGACCACCCATAAAAGTTAGCCCACAACCCAACCACTCATCCTAGGAAAAGAGACTCACCCAAAAACCACCCCCCACAAAAAGTAAACCCCCAAAAACAACAACCCAAGAACTAAAACCAAACCCTCATTCCCAAATATAACAACACCCCCCAACCCCCCCTTCCCCTTCAACCACGCCGGCACCAAATCTACCTGACAAGTCCTCCCCGGAACCACCAAGCACCCGCCAGCCCGCCGCCGACACTCCAAATGCCGTCGTCTGCGCTCCATAATACGACGAATGCGCAGGTTACAAAACGCCTCGTCGGTCCGGAACGAGCACTTCTCCATGGGACATTCGAGTTTTTGCTCGAAGCGTTCAACGAACCAGTCGACTTTGAGGTGGACGCCGGTGTAGACGAGGGTGTAGAAGTGGCGGGAGGTGTGTTTTAGAGCTAGGGCGTCTGGGTAGGGGAGGTAGGTTGAGATTTGAAGGTGGAGCTCTGTGGGGAGGGTTGCGAGGGATTTTTGGGGTTGTTTTCGGAGTTGTTCATTAGGTGGGATTTCAGTCATTGTTTTGTTGTGTTTGGATGTACGTTGTATGTTGATGTTGTTGTTGATATTGATATTGATATTGATATGAGGGTGTTTGGTAAGGGATCCGCGGTTCAAATAGGGTTGGTTGCCGATACGGGGTTGTTGGTTGCCTAATGGGATTCAGGTTGAAACAGGCCACCGTGGCTGGTATATAAATAGCTCTGTACGTGGTGGAGGTCTCGGGGAATACGAGACTTTATATCTTTAAATTTTGGTGCTTGTTTTAGAGGTTTAAATCTAATGATCGTCGACATGGTTGCGGCGATGTGTCAGACGGGGCTTTCTGGCAGGGCGGAGTCGGAGCACTGCCACAGTCGAGCTATGACAATTTTCTGGAGTTAACCAGTGAGATTTCTATTTAGCTAGACTCATTGAGGAAGAGAGTTGAGCATTTGAGTATAGAAATAACAGAATGTCTTACTGCTAAATCAAGGTACGGTATAGTCAAGGATGTAGTATCTTGTCGTTGAAATAATTTGAACTTTGCCAAAACCTTGGGCAAATTAATCGATTTTATTTCTAATTAGGGTTTTCCGAGTAATATTTCCGATGATACTTAAACAGATACATACCAATCAGAGCCCTTTCAGCACCTGCACTCGGACATATACTAGTATCTCTGTTGAAGGAAGACCGTGATAATGCTGGACCACTACAAGCTGTGAGATCTACTGGCAATGGTAATCCACAGTTACCCTTGCTACCTACCGGACCGTTAACGGCAGGCTACTGAGATAAAGGTGTATTAATTTCATAATCTACATGCATTCTACAAGGAGGCGTTATATGTCCCATAGCTTCTCCCTGAGCTACGTCAAAAAGAAAAGAAGAAAAAAAGAATTCGAAACGTGAGATTTTCCGCATCACACCAGACTTTACAATGCCTCTGGCACGGTGCGTAATGGCTTCGGGGGGGAGTGTGATCGCCGGTCATCGTTTCCCACAAGGGTTATTGCCCTTCTTTTATTTCCACTAGAGACAAGTATCTCCCGGTGAGTCCTTATGGTGGCGATATCAGGTCTCATGTACTACAAAATCACTGGACCGACACACAATGAAGAAGCTTCAAATTGGACATAGCGAACTCGATTAGCCACCTGCCTAGGACAGTCGGCAAGCCCATACATAAATCACCGTCTCAACGAATGTATCCCCCCCATCTCCTCCAACTATTCCCAAAGTTTCCCGCGATTATCCTCTGGGACCTAGACCACGCACCAATAATTGGTATTTGCCCTGAAAAGAATACGTTAGCTAACCGTCTTTTGTGTTCCCGATAAACTCACTTTGGTTTCCAGCCATCCTTAGTGTGATCATAACCGCCCCCAGGGCAGGTATCCACGATTCTTTTGAGCAGCTTCTTGCACTGGTCAACTGTAAGGACTGCATCACCCGAATTTCCGTTGTTCATCCACAGATTCACATTATGCGGACTATAATCGACCTCAAGACACTGCGTCCTCT